GGAGGAGGAGGAGGAGGAGGAGGAGGAGAAGGAGGAAGAGGAAGAGGGGGAAGAGGAGGAGAAGAAGATAGAAGAAGAACAACAACAACTGCATTTACATAGCGCACATATGCACATTCCACATCAGGCACTGTAAACTTTAGAATTATAATCAAAGTTCATCCATGAATTAATGAAATCTTTGACAGAGAACTTGAAATAATAATATGTATTATGAGCAGTCACAGTGAGGACCATAAGAGTAACAACAATTAATATTGTGACTTGTGAGGTGCTGCGGGAAAAGCAGTCACATCGGTACCTTAAAATTACCAAGTTCTATCTGATATTTTTAGACCATTTTGAGTTTCTAAGATCATGAGGTCAGAAACCAAATGTTCTATCTGCTCTATCACAATCGTAAGATTATTCGGAGTCGCTATCAAGATATTGAAATTGCTTTCGAAAAAGCTTGACGTGTGAAACTCAACATTTTTTACATCATATTTCTCAAACGTAGGAACCGAGGAGACAGAACTTTCATTCCGAGGCAGTCACATGTTGCAGTAAATAGTAAATTTTATAGCGTGCAGTATATCTTGAGTACACAGGCGTTTACTGATTTGCAATAATACTATGTTAATTAGAAGCTGAAATACTAGTCTTTTAAAAAAGTCATCTTTCTAGTACCCACTTCTGAGAAATCCAGGTTTCAAGTGGTCAGTTTTAGAGTCTATGTTTAATGTGTGCCCAGAGAATGGACAGTGTATATGTTTAATGTATGAAGAGATAATAGACAGATTTAGTGTCCATCTTAAAGAGAGAATAGACAGTTTCAGAGTCTCTGTTCAATGTATGAAGAAAAATGGACAATTTAAGTTTTATATATGAAAAGAAAATGGACAGGTTAAGCTACCATGTTAAATGTGTGACGACGCAGTGGGATCCGGTGGTCGTCAACTTTTTGGCCGAGTGGAGTTATTGGTACCATCATAAAATTTGTTCATTTGTCTACTTTTTGATGAGAAAATACACATCTATCTAAATAGAGGTCAAGATATTTGCGATTGAAGGAGGTTGGGTTGCCTGGTTTCAGAAGTAAAAAAGCGATTAAAAGCAGACCAGAAATGTGTTTTTAAATGACCATAAAAGGGGTTGAACCAATTAACAAAAATTTAATAAAAATTGTCAAACTGGCTGAAAAATATTGGTATGTTCAGTTTCATTATTTTGACGAGCGCCAGATTTCACCACGATGCGTCACAAGCGTAAAAAGAAAAGATGAACAGTTTAGGTGTCTATGTTTAATGCAATACTGATAAAATGGACAGTTTAAGTGTTTATGTTTAATTCATAAAAAGAAAATGGACAGAGTCCATATCATCAATCCGGAATCCGACAGTGCCATCCAGAAAGTGGTGGGGGAAAGGTTCAAGGAGAAGAATAAAGTTGCCTGGGGCGAGACATTTAGATAATGGAACTGGTATTGGAAAATTGGCGAACAGTGTTACTCCCATATGAAAGTAGATGTTGGTGCTCGTGTAGAAAAGCACAAAGCTTTTTACGCCATCTCCATCCTGGGGAATAAATGGAAGACATTTGTCACAAATAATGCCAATTACAATGACACTCTTTATTCATCTCGAAGGGGGGGAAATTTGTCTTTGTCGATTACAATGTCAGTCGATGTTTCAAAGCTTCTGTGCACTCACGCATACGCATAACAAGACTGGACATTAGTAAATAATATACTGTCTCATGTGCTGAAACACCCGCTCCGTAAAACTCTCTCTCTCTCTCTCTCTCTCTCTCTCTCTCTCTCTCTCTCTCTCTCTCTCTCTCTCTCTCTCTCTCTCTTTCTCTCTCAGTAACCTCACTGCAGTTGGTAGGCATGGTTTTCTATATCTGTCTGTTCTTCCATTTTGGAAATGTTTGGTTTACAGCGGGTCGATAATTGAAATAGCGGTGTCAGAGGATGGCTATGGTCACAGAGCATTATTTCCGCTTTTTTTTTTTTATAACGCTCGTTTTGTGCAGATGTTTAACGTTACTAGCTCTCTTACAATTGTTCTTGATGCCTTTCTGATCAACTTGATTATTTTTATGACGTGCTGTCTTCCCAAATTGCTACCATAGCAAGAAATCCCAACATTTATCAAAGTTTCTATTGTGGTGGTGTAGAATATCTGAAGGATGGATGGATTCAGATTGAAAGACCTAAGTTTCCTCAGAAAGTACAGCCTCTGATTTACCTTTTTAATGATAATGTTTATGTGATTTTGCAATGTAAATTTGTTGTCGATTGTAAGACCAAGATATTTGTATGAATCCATGATTTCAATTGTTTCCTGTTCAATTACGAGGGGTGAGATTGCTGGTTTTTCTCTTCTAAAATAAAAAAACATTATTTCCTATGTTTTCGAGAGGTTCACTTTCAGAAAATTTGAATTGCCCCATTAAAAAAACCTATACATGTAGGCCTACATATTTCTTTGAAATACTCTTTTCCATCAAAATGTATTAATCCAATAATAGCGGAGTCATCTGCAAACTTAATTAAACGTGTTGTTTTATATGTGTCGCGACGTGGTGGAATCAGGCACTCGTCAATTTTGGGGCATACGGGGTTATTGATATCATCTAAAAGCCTGTTCTTTTGTCTTGCTTTTGGTGAAAAAAATATACATTTAAATTGAATAGAAGTCCAAGGCGTTGAGTCAAAAAGGAAAAATAGAAAAAAATTGCCCACAGGTCGAAAAAATGCCAATTTCTTTGATTTCACCATTTTGACGAGTGTCTGCTTCCACCACGCTGCCTCCCATATTTACTTCTATCATCGTTGGTATAAATCGTATAAACAACTGGCGACAAAAACACAGCCCAGAAGACCCCCTGTATTACAACGGATAGGGTCAGATTTTGCGTTATTTAGCTTAACATATTGTGGTCTGCCTGTCAAAAATTCCAGGACCCATGCTGCGATATAATGACTCAATCTCAGATTCAAAAGTTTTCAATGACAATATGCGGTTGAATAAAGTATTGGAAAGAATAAATATAAGTGTATGGTTTTAACACCCGCATCAACAGCATTAGGTATTTAAGAAGAGGGACTTCCGATTTAATGTTCACCCTGAAATGAGACAGTGTGAGACAGTGCCAAATGGGTTGAAAGTCTTGAAACCTCCACGAAGCGACGTGAGTTCAAGAACGCCCACGCCAGTCTGGGATTTGAACCAAGGCCATTCACTCCTTAGTCCAGCGTGATACCAACTGAGTTAAAGGAGCACCCATTGGAAAGAGCTGGGGTTGAAGGCAACCATAAAAAGAAGAAGATGGAGATATTTGGGATATCGCGCGTAGAAGTTGATTCCCGCCAGGAAATGATATTTCTCTGGGTCTTTCTGCTGGGACGTTGTATCCCTATCATCCTGTGTTGACCTAGACATGTAGGGTCAAAGTTTACCTACTAAATGATGTGAATTGTGTTTATAGAGGCGTAAATCACCTACCTAAATGAAACCGATTACGGTTGAATATATGGCAATATCAGAACAGAAAGAGTAGAGACTATAAAACAGAAGTCCTTTAGACTAAATTTAAACCTGATCTTTAGTTTGTAAGCATCGTTGACTGGTTAGTTGGGGGCGTCATCTCAGCCTTGGATGCCCCTGATGATGGCGAGTAATGATCCACTACATTAACACACTTGTTTACTGTGCCAACGATCGTGCTGACTATGACTTTACAAAAAATATTGTCAATCCATACTAGTCTCTGCTTTCCTACTACCTTCGTCCCTTTTAGCTCGCCTTCTTCTACACCTTTTAAAACTTCATGCATGCAATAGCGAAGGGTCTAAATATTTCATCACAAATGTTGGTCTTCCAGAAAAAAAAAAATCCAGTTCTGTATATCAATGAATGTACATGTGCGTGTCTAAACAACTGATCACAGGTGCTGGTCTTCCAAAAATCATGTTTTGTTTATCAATTAATGTACATGTACATAGTATTCTTCAGGACTAGCAGGTGGCATCAGTAGTCTAGTGATTAGGCTACTGGACTCGTACTAGTGAGATTGCGAGTTCAGGGGTTAGAGCATCTCGGTCCTTGGTTGTGTCCTTTGAAAAAGCACATAAAATAGATCTTAAATTTGTAAGCCACGCTTTTTAAATTACCGTACAGTTTTGCAAAGGGCTTTAAATTATTTCGCCTATTTTTGCACGACTAGCAGAGGGTAGAGTTTTTAAAATTTGTCCAAACAATGCACGCCAAGAAACACATCTAAAAAAAAAGAACACCTCTCGACAGCGTCCATTGTATAACCAAAGAGTGCGTTTTAGAAAAGTGCCCCAAAAAGTTGAAAAATGCTTCTTGTTGGCAAGTTGTTCAAATTTTGTTGTAAGCCCAGACAGGATCATTTTCCAACGGGGGGTGGGGGGGGGTGAGAGAGAGAGAGAGAGAGAGAGAGAGAGAGAGAGAGAGAAAGAAAGAGAGAGAAAGAAAGAGAGAGAGAGAGAGAGAAAGAGAGAGAGAGAGAGAGAGAGAGAGAGAGAGAGAGAGAGAGAGAGAGAGAGATTTAATTTTATTATCTATCATTTCTCGCATTTTTCAACACTTATAAGTAATTTTGACCAAATATTTCTCAAACCCCTGCATTCGGGACCACAGATTAAGATGACAGACATAGGTGTACCTGTGTTTTTGTCTCTCACCTGAACTACTGCACCATGCCTGAAGGGATGAAAGTAAGGACCAACAACTTCTAATAACAATGGAATCGGTACATCGCCCACGAGTTCTGCGGGATACACAACGTGAAAGTTGAAAGAAAAAAAAGTAAACTACATACATACGTATGTAACATACATACGTATGTAACATACATACATAAACAAAAAAATATATATACACATCATACACATATAACACACATACATACATACATACATACATACATACATACATACATACATACATACATACAGACAGACAGACAGACAGACAGAGAGACAGACAGACAGAGAGACAGACAGACAGACAGACAGACAGACAGACAGACAGACAGACAGACAGACATCCACCCACCCACCCATCCATCCATCCATACAGACATACAGACGGACAGACATAATATACCGACATAGGGGGAGGGAAATCATTTAAAAACATGTTGATTCGATGTAGGGTTCTATGGGGAACAAAAATTATATATATAAAAAAGGATTACTCTTATACAGTCTTTGCTTACCTAAGAACATATTACTCTGGTTATAAGCGAAGGTTTTGTTCAGGGAATATATATCCATCCTTCTCAAGAATCCGGAAAGTGACAACTTGTGAAGTGCATCCCTGAAACTCTTAGCTCTCTCTGTGAAGATATTTTAAAACATAAAATTATGATAATTACATCCTCTATAATAATGTTTAATACATCAATGACAGTAACAATAATAATAATAATAAAAAAAATAATAATAATAATAATAATAATACATGTAATAATAATAATAATAATAATAATAATAATAATAATAATAATAATAATAATAATAATAATAATACTGATACTAATAAAAATAATAAAAATAATAGTAACACTACTGCTGCTGCTATAGTGTTTGTCAATCAAAGGTAGTGAAGAGTGACAAGAGGGGTACAAGAGGTGGGACAAGGAACTTACCTTCCGTGTGATATGTATCTATCGGCCGCCACCTAACAAGAAAAATAAATTTAAAAGTAAAGAATTCTTCATAGAATTCCAAGATCTACTCTTTCAACTAGAGCAAGGTGCCTCCCCCTTTTACATCATAGGGGATTTCAACTTTCACAGGCACAGTACCTAATACTTTCAAACAAGCTATTGTAAAACCTTTATTGAAAAAAACCCGGGCTTGCTAAAAATGAATTAAAAAACTATCGACCAATTTCGAATTTGCAATTTGTCTCAAACATTCTAGAGAAGATTATTTTAAGTCAAGTTTTGGCTCACATGTGAAAAAATGGTCTTGAGGAAATTTACCAATCTGCCTATAAAACTCATCATAGTACCGAAACTGCGCTTTTAAAACTAACGTTTGATTTATTGGATTCCGTTGATAGCAAAAACATCTGTCTTTTAACTCTTTTGGATCTGTCCGCAGCTTTTGGCCCAATTGACCATGCTATTCTACTCACAAGACTTGAGCGCTCATTTGGCTTATCGGGTACTGTGCTTTCATGGTTTAAGTAATATTTACTAGAAAGAGTTCAGTCAGTGCAAATTAAAAATAACTTTTCAAAGCAGGTCAGGCTCGATTATGGAGTTCCACAGGGGCCCGCTCTTGGACCAGTGCTCTTTACACTATATACACAGCCCTTAGCAAGCATTTTACAAAATCATGGATTGAATTATCATTTTTATGCCGATTATTCCCAAATGTATGTTAATGGCACCATTCAAGATCTGCCAAACATGATTTCTATCACTAAACAATGTTTTTCTGAAAATAAAGAGTGGATGACTGTAAACAAATTGAAACTAAACGAAGAAAAGACAGACTTCATTCTTATTTAAAAATCCACGATTGAATAAAGATCTGGAAAGTGTCAAATTTGATTTATATGGGCATATGACATATAGTAAAGAAGTTGTTAAGAATCTCGGTGTATATATTGACCACAACTTATCAATGGGTTCGTTTGTAGGGTATCTGTCCAAATCCCTTTATTTTCAGCTGAGAAGGATAGGCCTAGTTCAAAAGTACTTAAACGAAGAGACCACAAAAACACTGGTAACATCTCTTATCCTATCTAGATTAGACTATTGTAACTCACTCCTAGCAGGTCTGAAGAACAAATATTTGAATTGTTTACAATTAATTCAAAACAATGCCGCTAGACTGATAACAAGATCTAAACAACGAGACCATGTCACTCCATTATTAAAAGAACTGCATTGGCTCCCTGTAAAAGAAAGAATAATATTTAAAATCCCCGTCATGTGTTTCAAATGTGTAAATAAAACTGCTCCTTTTTATCTACAAGAACTTATCAGTATATAAGACAGGGAGAAACCTAAGATAATCAAACAATAACACCCTACTTGTGACACCCGTAAAATCATACAAATCATATGGAGAGAGATCTTACTCATATCTTGGTCCATTTATGTGGAACAGATTACCCATGAAACCAAGACAAATAAAAACACTTTATAGCTTCAAAAGACATCTTAAACATTTTCTGTTCCTACAGGCCTATCCTTTATAAGCTTTTAACGTTATTTTTCATTACAGTTGATCTGTTCCTATGTCTGGATGAAAATAGTCTGTGTGTGTGTATGTGTGTGTGTGTGTGTGTGTGTGTGTGTGTGTGTGTGTGTGTGTGTGTGTGTGTGTGTGTGTGTGTGTGTGTGTGTGTGTGTGTGTGTGTGTGTGTGTGTGTGTGTGTGTGTGAGTGTGTGTGTATGTGTGTGTGTGTGTTTGCATTAATATATATTGCATGAGAAAAAGGAAGTAGTAAGAATGGTTTTTGAAAAATGGGTATCCCAATGTAAAGCGCTTTCAGCTACTTTTTTGGAAATGCGCTATATAAATGTTACTACTACTACTACTACTACTACTACTACTACTACTACTACTACTACTACTACTACTACTACTACTACTACTACTACTACTACTACTACTACTACTACTACTACTACTACTAACTATTATACTTATCATTATTATTAATACTCTTATGATATTATACAATTAATAATGTAAAGAAGAAGATCTGTAATATAACAACAACAACGACATTAGTAAGGAGAAAAACATTTATAATTATGATAATAGCACTATAGCAATATAAACGATATACTACTGATCATATTAATAATGACGACAGTAATACCACTCTTTCAGCAATTTTTTTCTCACGGTCAATTTCAAAATGTGTTTAGATGCTTAAAAACTGCTTTTATGAGTACCAACTGACAGAAAATTTACATTTTGTTCATATTTCAAGATTTTTGTTGTTGTTGTCATGTGCAGGTATAAATTGAAATTCTCCAGGTGACTGTTTCAAGATAACAATAAGCTCTTACTGAACATGAATGTAGCAGGGGTGAGCAAACTAAGGCCCGCAGGCCACATGCGACACTTCATGAGTTTTGTGCGGCCTTCTGAAACATTCAGCAATTTTTGGGGTGTAAAATTGATAAACACATTTTCGTAAATGTGGTAATATTTGTTGGGGACGTCACTGGCTTTCTCAGTGAAACTTTTTTTTTTTTAAAGACTCTATTCTTTGTAAATTGTTTTAAAAAATCCTTTTTTATAATGAAGTGGGTTACAACATTTTATATGTCCTTAATGAAAGATGTCATCTGGCATTCTATGTTCAATTGTGGCATAGAACTTAAGTGCATAGTTCAATAACTTTGTTGAAGTGTCCCCTATCCAAAAATACCCACCTCTGAAGTAGAGAAATAACATTATGATCTCATAAAACGTACTGAACTCACTTATACATAGTTCTCCTGATCTGTTGATTGGCGCGTTCACTGATGCAGCAGTAGTCACTATTCGCTACATTATAATCGCACATTTCTATCTCTATCTGACATTTTTGGCCGTTTCGAGTTACTAAGACCATTTGGTCTGAAACTAAATGTTCTAAATGCTCTCTATCAATATCGTAAGATTATTCGAGGTCATTATTAAGCTATTCAAAGAATTGCATTCGATAAACATTGACATGTTGTGAAACTAAACATTTTTACAGTCAAATTCCTCAAAACTAGGTGCTGAGCAGATAGAACTTTGAAATTCGAGGGTAGCGTATTGTTAACTCAGCATGTTGCTTGTTATTACTGTTGTTTCTGATGATGATGTCAAAGTCCATCTTTCAGTTGGGACGTTGTATCCCTCTCGGCCCAGGTTTTGCCTTGACATGCAGGATCAAAGCCTGTCACCTAAATGATCTAAATAATTTTGTTGAAGGGGGGGCATGCGGGTGTAAAATCACCTACTCAAAAAAGATAAATAAAAAAGAATAACAACCCCCCAAAAAATCAAAACAAAACAACAAAAAACAAAATCAAACAACAAACCCCCCCAGACAAAACAAAGCCCCCCTCCCCCCCCCCCCAAAAAAAGGGAAAACAAAAAAGAAAAAAAAAGAAACTTACTGCATCCTTCCTTATGATCCTTAAAATGCAACTTTTGGCAAGTTTTATTGCAGTATTTCACTTCGCCACACCGTGAGCAGGTCAACAAAGACCCGCTGCTCTTTTTGCAGCAGGCGCACACATCAGACTTTTTGTCCTTAGTTTTTTGGGAACTTGCTTGTTCTTTAGCTTTGCTCGCCTTTTCCGAGTCAGATGAAACAATCTCATTCCCTTGACCCTTCTCGACTTCTTCTAACTGATCGGAGCGAGTCTTGTCTGACGATCTTTCTTTGTGTGACTGCGAAATTCTTAGGGTTTTGTCAGGCTCACCGTGGCCTTTGGAATCTTCGTCAGAGTTAGAATCCTTTTCATCTTTTGAAGACCTATGGAAAAAAAAAAGAAAAATATTTAATATTTTGATCTTTTTGCATGTCAGCGGGTATGTATAAACGGTCTCTTCAACTGTCCACCACGAGCCCATCACCATCCCAAAACTATACAACCCCCCGCCCCCCACCAAAAACCAAACAAACAAAAGAAAAATCTCACTCTTTTGTGACCACCCCCAAAAAAACAAAGAAACACAGAAACAACCCCCCCCCCCAAACTGCAAATAAAACACCACATTCATAATTTCTAGTTCTCTCTCTCTCTCTCTCTCTCTCTCTCTCTCTAGCTCTCACTTACATTCATCTCTCTTTCTTTCTCTATCTGTCAGTCTATCTGTTCATCTGTCGGCCAGTCGCGCTCTCTCTCTCTCTCTCTCTCTCTCTCTCTCTCTCTGCTCTCTCTTTCTCTCTCTCTCTCTCTCTGCTCTCTCTCACTCACGTACTTCCTTTCACTACCCGCGTCAATCCCTGGTTTACGAGGCGTAAACAAACGTTCAACTTCCTCTTCCTCGTCCTCCTACCCTCCTTCACTTCCCTATTCATATTTTTCAACCTATCCCACTTTCTATTCCTACCTCCTTACACCCTTCTAGCCCCTTCAATTCCTTCTCCTACCATATTCCCACCTTTTCTCCCCCCTCCTTTTCCTCTTCCTCCTCTCCTTTTCTGACCCAGGTTATGGAGTCAGACTAAAACAACAACTCTACCTGTAATTGTACTTCGAAGTCTTATCTCCCTTTGTTGTCGACTCCTTTTTCAACCTCTGCTGGTCTCCCCTTGCCCCAACGGAAGTCTTGGGTCTCACATCCGGCTTCCCGTCTCTTGACCCAGCAAAAGCAGACGCAGACTGTGACTTCTGGAACGCAGACGGCGGTGTTTGGGAAACCTGAAAATGACTACCTTCGGCTCTTTTGCTTTTTTCAGGGCTCACCCGAGGCGACCACCATCCGTCTCCAAACTTTTTGCCTCGCTGGAAACTCTCATTAACCCGTATCCGACCGCCGAATCGACCGTGTCCAAGTTTCACGTCATTTACCAGCGATGTGGGATTTCCTCTGCGATTTCGACCTTCTCGTGCGGCCGCATGATGATGCATCCTAGTGTTTTCTTCCTCGTCAGCGTTACCTGACTGATCCAAGGTTTTTGTAACTTGTCGAGACACCTCAACCCCATCATCGTCTAACAGTCGTGATCTGGACCTAAGTTCTTCGATGGTTCTTGTTATATCTGAATCAAAACACACTCGGAGACCTTTCTTTATTCCAATAACATCACATACCGTCTTATGCTCTTTTCTGTCCGACTCCAAACACTCAATGGAACAATATCTAAGAGAGAAGAAAATAACATTAGGAATTAAATCACATTACATATGTGGAAAACGAAGATCAAGAAAAGAGGTATCGACATAGTCACAGAGGCTCTGCCCCCTAAATGAACAACATAACGACCCAAAAGTAAAGCAACACATCTGGCCCGTCTGATAATTTATTGCATCTCCCCTCGACACACTTCGATACAACAGAATAGAAGAAGTAAAGAAGTAAGTAAAGTATTGCTGCCCAAAAGTAAATTTCAATGTTCCCCACTTCAAATAAAATTTACACGCGTCTTAATCAGATCTCAAAAAAGGCAAGCCGTAAGCTCAGTTGTTATTATGCTGAACTATGGTGCACATGATATTTGTTCGAAACCCCACTAGGGTGTTCGAGAATTTGGCCTTTATATATATATATATATATATATATATATATATATATATATATATATATATATATATATATATATATATATGTGTGTGTGTGTGTGTGTGTGTGTGTGTGTGTGTTATTTGGATTTACTTGGATCCAGAGCTAGAATCATAGCAGGCAGCACATGCCCTTAGCTGCTCATCTCTCCTTTCCAGCGTCCACCTCAGGGTCTTCCTGTTAATTGTCTCCATGAGGTACTGGTTTGAGACACGCCTGACCACTCCTCGGAGCAAACTTTTTTTCGCTGTGCCCCGCACACACTTTTCTTTTATTGTGCTGAGTGTGTGGGAGTCTTGGTTGTGAAGGCTCTCCTTGCATCTGGCGATCACCATTGGTGGGTCGAGCATGATTCGGCCATTGGGTGCTGCTTTGCCGGCACGTTCATCAGCACGCTCATTTCCGTGCACCCCGGCGTGACCAGGGCAGAACACCCATGTGATTCTTAGGAGGTGGCTATTTGCAATAGAAGCTCTCCAGTCACTGTAGAGCCACCCACTCCTGATTTTTTCTAGGGTGCTCATCGAGTCTGTGACAAACAGGGCATGTTTATACGCTTCCATGCTAATCCATTCCAGCGCCTCTGTTATTGCCTTGACCTCCATTGCCATGCTCGACGTAGTGCACTCGTAAGCTCCAGACTGTTCTTTAATTATCCTACCGTCAACTCGAGCACTGAACGCCCATCCAGATTTCTGGCCACGCCTCACTGATCCGTCGGTGAAGACGACAACATCACCCATCACTGAATTTTCTTCTAGGGTGGCCACAATTTCCGCATCAGTTGCACTTGCTGGCCACTCGCGACACTCTTGACCTAGCGTAGCTATCACCTTCATGAAGTTGCTCATGTCTTTCTCCGGTCTCATCCAGTCACATCCTCTTCTTATGTCCTCGATTTCACAGCACATATCGAGAGTTCGCTCCTCCTGCACCATGAAAATCCCCTTTTCAATCTTTGGCGTACTTGGTTTCCTATTTTCGGGTGTAGAGGGTGACGTTCGTCTGCTGTTACTCGAAGGTAGGCTTTGACTTGTGCTAGCTTGTGTCGGTGGGTTAACATTGGCAGGTCCAGCAGATATCTCATCGCTGATGCTGATGTGTCACGGGTGCATCCAAGAACAGTTCTCATTCCTTCATTTTGAATGACTTCGAGGCGATGTAGTTGGGTTTTGGATAGGGTGAGCATACCAAGGCCACAGTCCACTACAGACAGTACAACCGCTTGAAGCATGATCATATGGGCGCGTTGGAGCATAGATGCAGCCATCACTCTCAGTGCAACAAGTCCTTTCCTTGCTCTGGTGATAATGTTTGTCACATGGACTTTTGCCGAGAGGGTGCGGTCAAAGGTAATGCCCAGGTACTTCAATTTCTCTTGCCTTTCCAACTGCGTACCTTGTATATTGACAGTAGGCATGATAGCCTTGACTGCTCTGTTGTTGAGACTGGTCCACAGTACCCCTGCCTTCGCTGGATTAAGTTTACCATTGTTCTGTTCGCACCATTCACCAATTCGATCTAATTCCTCCTGCATGCCCCTTGCAATCAACTCCCGATCTCTCCCCTGCCTATATACCAATACATCATCTGCAAAGCTTAGCGTACGGCCAGGTCCCTTCAATTGATTGGCTGTAAGACCGATGGAGTATATATTGAACAAGACTGGTGACAGGGCCGATCCCTGGGGCAGTCCTGAGGTTATGGTAATAGGTTCAGAAGCCCAGCTGCCAAGGCGCAAGGAAACCTTTCTTTTTAACAAGGCATTTCCTACCCAGATCACCAATTCAGAGTCGATTTTCATATTGATCATAGTTTGCATGATCAAGCTAAAGGGCACCCGGTTATAAGCACCTTCTAGATCTATTGCGGCGACTAGTGTCTCTTTTCCCTCCTCAAAACCATCGTATATGTCGGAGGCCAAAATTGCCGCATTCCTCCAGGTGTCCTTACCAGGGCGGTAACTGCCAAGTTCCACAGGTATCAGATTGTTGCGCTCCAAGAAATTGGACATCCATGTGGACACCATTTTTTTCCATTAGTTTCCCCACCGTGTTTTGCATTGTGATAATCCTGTAGGACTCAATTTTTGTGGGGTCCTTCCCGGGCTTTGGTAGGGGTGAAAGATAACTGTCCAGCCAATCCTGAGGAACCAACCCGTCATGCAAACTAGTATCCAGGATGTTTGCGAGACTCTCCAAGTTGCGGTTATCCAGATCCTTGATGTGGGAACAACGCACCCCATCTGGGCCTGGTGCTGTGTCAGGTGCCGTCTTAAGTATATTTCGAACAGCCTCCAATGTGACTTTTAACTCTTCCTCTCCTTCCCAGTATCTTCCTTCTATGTCCCTTAGAATGCTCGTTCTTTCGTTTTCATTGTGCTGATTTGTTTGCCGCAGGTATCTGTTCAAAAGAGCCTGTACTTTCTCCTCTTCCGATCTAACCCTCGTACTGTCCTCTGTCTGAAAATCAGGGAGGCATGTTCTTGACTGACTGTTGTTCATTGTCTTGTGAAACCTCCAAAACTTTCGTAGAGATCTGTCACCTGTAATATTCTGGCAGAAGTCTTCCCATTTCTTGTTTTTCTCCTGCTCTGCTGTTTCTTTAAAAGTCTTTGATGCCTTTTTTGCAGCTTCCTGGAGTTCTGGATTCATTCGATTCCTTTGAGCCGCTCTAAGTGCTTTCCTTTTAATAACCCAGTGCTCCTGTATTTCCTCATTCCACCATGGGGGTTTGGTCATGTCCTTCTTATGCATTGGCTTTTCTCTTTTGTGTTCTTGCGTAGCATGGTGATAGCGTCAGTCTCCAAAAGTGTGTATCTAAATGGTCTCTTCCTCTTCGGGCCACATTTCTCAAGAGTCTTTCTTATATAGACTCGGCATGGAAGATGGTCGCTTCCATGACTGCTCAAAACATCCCATCTACATTTAGCTGCCATCTGCACAGAAGCTAAAGCCAAGGCTATTGCACTGTCTGTATCATTTTTCCTCTGTGCCATGCGGGTCATTCTCCCATCATTTAGTATAGCTAGATCACACGAGTCTAGAGCATTTTCTAAGTCAAATCCCTGTGCGTTGTCCTTGATATTACCCCATTGGATACCTCGGGCGAGAGTGTTTGTCGAATGTTTTCGTAACTTCCCCCATTCCTTTTCATCTACAGATCCATTACAAGCATAAACATTTATGACATTCCGTATTGGCTGATCCGTGAGTTCCACAGCGAGCAAGTGAAGATTCTCAGACTCCCGTGTGTGTGTGTGTGTGTGTGTGTGTGTGTGTTTGTGTGTGTGTGTGTGTGTATGTGTGTGTGTGTGTGTGTAATGGGGGAAGGCGGGGGGGGGGGGGAGCTTTCAAAGAAGACCTTTCACCAACTTAACCTGATTGACAAATAGGTCGCAGTTTGGCGCTTCGTCGACGGACACAGAACTGGATTCTCGTTTTTGGAGACATTTGACTGAATATCTATCGGTCTTTCTGCTAAGTTGTTGTACTCCTCTTCGAACATTGCATCTACTTAAAATATATCTATCTACGTTCACAATACGTACATGCGTAATACCTGTTTATCTACATGTACCTGCCGACGTACGGAAAGGGCGGGGAGGGGGGAGGGGAAGAGAAAAGTTATGTACCTCATCGCTGCGTTCTTTGTTTATAGGAAGATTTGGTTGGGGGTGGAAGGGGGGGGGTCCTCTTATACTTCAGTTTCAGATAGAGTGCAACGGGAAGAATTTAAAAATAAACACGAAATTCAAAAGGAGGTACAAATGTACTTGCACATGATGTTTGGCCCATTTTTACAAACATTTTCAAAGGATGGGGTATTAAAAATAAACAAACAAACATGTCACAAATCATTTTCAGGCAGTAAGGACGGCTAATAGGTTTTTATGTAGTTAGGCAGGTAACAACAAGCTCCATGGGTTTTGTGCTCTATAATTATAGTACCCCAGCAGGCCTGATAGCATTCAAACACAATTTCAGCTTTCTGGAGAGGAGACAAATGCGTAGAATTATCATAACTCTTCTTCTCATGAAAATAATGGATATAACGGGGAGAAAATAACTCAAGGAAAAACTGCATCCCTGTAAATACACTTACTGGTATTCTTTGCAGAGACTACAGGTGAGAAAGGTGTGAAATGACCGTTTCTTGCAGTGGACACAACGGCCTTCTTCCATCAGCTTTCCGGCTTCCTCTGGCTCCATTCTGGATTCGACTTCAGTTGTCTTTGAACAACAGTAATGAAGATGATAATGATGATGATCTGACAAAACGATACTGTGCCAAAGCCCCCACTAAATTGCTCCCCGTCAACCCCCCGTCCACTCCTGTAATCTTGGAAACCTCTTCATTTGTACAACGATTACAAAACGTCTTTCATCCCCCACAAAGCAACCTCTTGCAACCCCTCCCCCTTTTCCAGAATCACCCGTGCAACACACTCAGTTACAAAACTTGCCCATACAAGACAGTAACAAACCATGTCGGGAACCCCCTTTTAAAAAGAAGTAAAACATAAAATAACATCCTTTCAGACAACATTGACTGTGAAACAAAAAACGCTATATACCTAATTACATGCAAAATATGCTCAACCATACAGTTTAGTCAAACCACAACCACCATCCTTAGAGCCAGATTCAACAACTACAGATACTCTGAACAAAACAATTCTTGCACTCAATCTTACAGCTCCGGCAACTATGGAATATCTGATAGCCAAATTGTAAAAACAAAACTTGATATTTTTCGAACACACTGGTTGTTTTTTTTTTTTCATTCTGACAAATGTAACG